GCATCACTCTCTCTGGACAGACAGACAGGAAGTAGATGTCATGTGTAAAAAAAATAAATAAACATAAATGAAGACAGTGGATCTGGGATGATGTCAAACAGCTTCGAGGTATCAAAACAAACTCTGCTGCACTAAATTATGTCTTGTTAGAGAATATATTTTCTATCCTTGTAAAATACCATTTCTTCTAGGATGTAGTTCCTCTCCTGACCAGCAGAAGGTGCCAAATCTCTTCTAAACACTCCACTACTATGGCTCCCAAATTGGAGGTTTCGACCCCTGCTATGGGTCATCAAAGCCTTTGATTTAAAATGGTGCAGCAAACATTTTTTTGTTTAAAAGATATTTTTTGGGCTATTTATTTGGGGCTTTATTTGGTAATTTTCAAGTTTAGATTTTTTTTAAGCATAAACTTTTTAAAAAATCTCACAGGATAAGGGCACAGTGAAGACCTGAACACAAACTATATCCACAGAGCCTTCACTCTCTGCTAAAAAGTCTCGTCCTGCTTCAGAAAAATATGCAGTTAAAATAACCACAGAGCCAACAGAACAATGACCAAGCTTCTCACAGTGCATGGAGGATTTATGCCAAGTCCAGCACCCTGGGACTGTACACTAAGCAGAATGAGGGGGCCACTGTCCAAGACAAAACAACCAAGACCCAGGAATACATAAGGAAGATGGCCCCCAGAGATGAGCTGCTGAGTGAATGTGTCAGGCAGCAGAAACCCAGGAATGCAGAAGAGGAGGACGAAACATAATGGAAGGACAAGCCCCTCCACTTAAGTCCTCTATTCTGCATTGTCTGTGCAGCTGCCTATGCTTTTTTTTGTTTTGCCTCTGTTTTATTCTGTATTGTAATGTGTTTTTGTTGCACAACAGGAACCTGCTCAAAACCAGTTTTTAACTGAGTCAGGCCAGGTTTAACTTTAACACGCAATGTTACTGCTAATTTCTTCCCTGTATAAATACAATTATAAGACGTGTTAAGATGTGAAGATTTAAAGTTAGAGGACTTTTTCTAAGCTTGAAGCTGTGAGTATAGACATATTTTAAAGGCATGTTAAGATTAGCACAATAATACAAGACATAGGTCAAAATTAACTATCTATGTTGGTAAATTAAACCTCATTGATTATAATAACATCCATGCAAACAGTTTGGTAGAAAAACAGACACCTAAAATCAAACTACAGCTGTTAAAAATCAAACAGAAGATTATAGCTGCTACGCAGCGATGGGTCGGATCCGGGCATTTTTAGGCAATTCTGAGCAACCTCTGGAACCTAAGACGGTCATCTACCGCTCTGAGCTAATTGGCAACTTGTAACTCAACAGTGGCTTCACAAATTGAGTAAGCCATTCACTGCTGTGTAGGAAAGCAGCCATCCATGCATGGAAAGGCAGATTTGAAACCACTGTAAAAGATTCAGTTATTAAGACAAAAATCTGAAAATACACATATTGCATCTAGACAGCATGGAGATGTTGGTAATTTGTTTGTAACAATGATTGATTTGCTCCATAAGTGAAAAACTGATGTTTAAAATTGCCATTTTTACATTGACTCCAATTGTTCACATTAGAGCAAAATTTAAAATGCTGTCAAAAATTCAGTTTTTGAGATAAAATTCTGAAATTTGCCACACATCATCTACCATGACTCTAGAATTTTGTCTTTTTTCATGAACATTGAAGATTTATTTAGCAAGAATTTGCATGTATATGTTTACAGTACCGTTTACAGTCAAACATTTTGATGCACTGTAGGCTCAATTTTTGATAAATCAAAAATCTGAGAAACATAGTTTTTGTAGGACAGACTGAAGATGCTCTGTAGCATGTTTGGTTTCAATTGAGCAAAAATTGTGGGAGGAGATAGGTTTAAGAAGTTTTACAGTTTTTGAAAAAAACAGAGTGATGAACTTCATAATTTTTAATAGGTTTAAATGTACAAAAGTTTCTTCAGTATTGGGGCTACAGTTTGAAGAAAGTTGCGAAGTTGTAGCACGTATGGTTGATTTGTTATGAATTTTCAAAGTTTTGAACTTTAGACGCTTGCTGTAGCGCCACCATCAGGACTATTGGCTTGAGTTTACAGCTGAGGATATCTGGCATGAGACTGGACCTTTGTGCAAAGTTTGGTGAGTTTTCACCCATGGGAAGTATGATTTCCTCAGAAGAAGAAAGAAGAAGAAGAAGAATACCTAGCTTAGCTGCCCGGACCCTAATGATTGTGATTTGATTTTAAATCTTAACAAACTCACACAGAGCAGGTATAGCAGAGCTGCAATAGTGTCATCTGTCCACTAGGTGTCAGGATTTCTCCTCCCCATAATATCTGCAGAGTAAATTCACATCTGGACAGTAGCGGAAGAACTACAGTATACGCACTAATACCACAATGTATAAATATTCCATTAAAAGCAAAATTACTTCTGCAAATTAAATATATTTTACATTATTTTATTAGTTATACTGTTGAATCAGTCGATCAACCAAGCAGTGTAGTACTTGTAAGTGTTCCATACACAGTTAGCTAGTTTAGTCCAGTGGTTCTCAGCCTAGGGGTTGGATGTCACCAAAGGGTCACCAGATAAATCTGAGGGGTCATCAGATGATTCAGTGTTTATTTTGACAGATATTTTAGATTTGGTCTCAGTCTTAGTCTTGAGATTAAACTTATTTTTTATCTTTAAACTAATCCAGTGAGGTTAATTCATGTATCCGAAAGTAGAATCAAGGTGACAGGTTGTATAAACATTTCATTTAGACAGATTTTTCTACAGCTACAATTAATTTCTGCACACCTGCAAACTGTCATGTCTCCAGCAGTGTTTGACAGGTTTAAGGGCTGATTTACTAGCACACACTCACTGATCATTTGAAAAGCTCAAAAACTTTGACAGCACGAATAACTATTTGTACCCAGGTTAACTGTAAACTCTGACTTATCCATGTGACTGTTAAGAAGCAGAAACATAACTTCTTTCTTCATCTGCAACATGTTAGTCTGGAGGTTTAAACTGGTGTCCTCTCACAGAGTTGGTGATTCAAATTAAACTTTCATCTCTGTCAGAGAAAACTGATCTGAGTTTAGACTGTTTACTTACAGCGCAGCTGCACTCACAGATAACTGAGCCTCCTACCTGCCTGTCAAACACCATCAACCCACAAACCTTCCAGTCCGGACTGAGTGGAGTCCTCGGGGGATCAGCTGTGAAGTCCAGCTGACGGTGGCTGTTTGCTCTGCTGCCATTCAGCGGCTAACAAGCGGAGCTAGCTGCTAACAGCCACCGCTGCAACTGCAAACTCCACAAATCCATTCAGCAGCTCTACCATCTACTGCTGAATTACAGCTCACAACTCGCACCAACGGCTGACGCTGCTCCAGTGTGAGTGTTTTTGCTGGCTAACAAAATCTGCTGGAGTTTACCAGCCTGTCACTCATGCTTCATTTGAAGATAATTACAAGAACGGCTATTCTTTGCTTTCAATGTCTGATAGTTGACCACAAACATTTTCGTCATGTCTCATCTCGTCAACAAAAATGTAGCATAGATTTGTCTTAGTTTTCATTATCAAGATCTATTTTTAGCTCGTCATCGTCTCGTTTTCGTCATGGAAAAAAAGGTCACTGGTGGAATTTTTTTTGGTCATCAACAAAATTAACTCTGAGATGATTAATGGGAGAGAAAAAGAAGAAACTGAGTTCTGATACACAAATTTATTTTTCAGTAAAAATAAAAGTAATTTGCAACATGATCCCATTCCCACTCGTCGTATTTTTTCACTTGTGCAGAAGCCGCGGCGTTACTAAAATGACATCGGGGCAGCCTTTTGTGTTGTATCTTGATGCAGAAGGGTTGGGCAGCAATTAGGGGTCAGCAGTCAGGTTAAGGCAACAGAACTACTGTGTTATGGTTGGAAAAAGATCACAGATGTTACTAAAAAAACACCTGGCTCTGAGTGGCTCAAAAGCTGCTGTAAGATGCAAGAATGACTTCATAGATCACATCCAGTTTTGTTGTTTGTTGGTCTTGAACAGTGGCCTGGCCGCCAGCTACCATCACACATCACAGACTTTTAAATCTAACATCAAAATGTTGCTGAATCCTGTGTATTAACCAGAAATAACACCTTTCCAATATCTCTGTCTAACAGAGTTTAATAATGCGTTTAGTCCACAGACGACTTTTGATACTATAAAACAGAATTGCTACCCTCACCAGAAAAGGTTAGTGTCTTTCCGATGTTTTAACACAGCAGCTGAGCGCAGGTGAATAAAGCAAACATTTTGATGTCACCTTTCTGTTTCTGTGACTTTCAATGGACCTGGGGTCTCATTTCTAAACACTGCGTACGCACAAAACGAGGCCTGAAAGAGGCTTACGTCACTTCATGTGGAAAAGTTGTGAACTACAAAAAGAGACTTGATGGGAGACACTTTGACCCGTGTTTATGAACATTTTGGAGACAGGATGTTTGCATTGCAGATGGTGAGGTGGAAGCCTGATTGTAGAAACTGTCGAATATTTTTTGGGGCACGTCAATCTTGGCTTTTAGTATGGATCCTACACACTTACCTTTTTTAACTTTTGCTACTTTAATTAGACATAAATGCTCATATTTTTGTACTTTTACTAGAGAAAAGTTTTAAATGCAGGACTTTCACTTGTAACAGATGTGTTAGTAAAAACATGTGAGTAAAAGCTCTGAGTGTATCTTCCACCACTGATTTTCTGTGTTTCTGGTAAAATCTACTCACATTCTGCTCACATCAGTTCAGTACAGTTAAAGTGACTTATGCTTCCTGTTATGTAAGGGCCTGAATGCAAATGATGACTCTGTTTTGTGTCCTCACTCTGACTCTACACGTTCCTCAGGTGATGATTAGTGTTTGTCCCGCCTCTGTGATGACAAGGGAGTGTCCTGTGGTTGGAAGACGCTGTCTGTCGTACAAAAAGTGCCTTCACCTCCATTCATTCGTGAGTCACAGGGACTGCAGGTTAGACAGCAGCCAAGCGACACACCTCATCACTCCAACTCAACCGACTGGACCGTTGCTATTTGTTTATTGTGGCTGGTGATGACTTCTTAATTTATTACAGTCAGTGCATGAACACTGGATCGTACCGCAGCGTTTGGACAAACACACCGGGGCAACTTTTGGAACAAACACGCAGTCCTACATGGAGATTGAAAGCATGGTGGCGAATAGTGCTCTTATTAAAGCCAGAGAAGGTATGTAACTGGATGTCAGATGTTTGGTATTTCTCATTAATATATTTAGACCAAATAAAAGACAAATTTAAAGACATGCTGCATTTGTTTTTGGGAAGTTTTTAAAGTTAAATTTGCATTTTTTCTCCCTTCATTCTTTGTGACATAATCCGTCAGGGTCACAGGAATCTCTTGTTGTGTTTTGGTTGGGTGAACTGAGGACGGTGACTTCCCCAAACAACATGGTGATGGCGGATGAGAAGTGATGAAACTGATCACAGATCACTGATATGACTTTTAGGCCTTGTTTTTTTTTTTTTAGATTAATCCTCACTGATCTGGCTTCATTTGTCCTCAATTTTACATCTTTGAAGAAGAAGAAATCTTTGAAGAAAACTGAGCAGAAAGCTTCACTCAAACACCAGAAACAGATCATTTCTCAGTAAAATAAAGGATTAAATTCTCCCTTAATGTAATGTAAACATGCACTGTTAACTAACTGAACCTGAAGATGAAACGTTCCAGTGACAGCATGGCCATTTAAGTCCGAAAGTTAAGTTGCAGAGTAATGTGGTCCCACAGGCTTTGCTTACCTGTTCCCTGAGCTATTAATAGTTCATTCACTGTCTGAAACCTGACGGGCTAGGCTGCGCGTTTATGACACACCGCTGAGAGACATGTCACTCTTGAGTTATAACTTCAGTCCTGCGTTTACACAACATCACAGTGTTTTTGTTTTGTCTCCGCTGTGTGCAGGTGGAGGAAGTAAAGGCAGGAGCTGGAAATGGAAAGAAATGCTTCGCTTTCCTCACATCAGTCAGTGTATGGACCTGGCCATGAACATAGGTGTGTGTGTGTGTGTGTGTGTGTGTGTGTTTCATAAGTCAACACCTGGTTAAGGAGGGTTTGTTGCGTGGTTTCATATCATATGTAATTTCTCCCGTCAGAGCGAGACTACTGCAGTATGTGTGTGAAGCAGCCGATTGGCAAGAAGCTGTTCCAGCTGTTCTGTCGGAGTCGACCTGACCTGCAGAACTACATCTCCCTCCAGGACGCTCTGGTACACTTTAGACTGTGGAACCTATTCATAAAGATTTCCACTGGAGGAAACATAGATCACATGTTAGACAGATGCATGCAGGTTGTGGTGCAGTGTACAGTCAGAACAAACAATAAAAATACTGAATTATATCAACTAAAAACATCAAATGTAGGAGACAAAAGTCCAGAATTGTCCATCACAAGTCATCACTGCAGTCACAGCTCAGGTCACACTGTGTCCTGAGAGCACCTGATGGAATCTGTAATACTATACAAGCATGCAAATGCAATCATGCACCATCTAATACATTTATGGAAATACTACAAAGGAAGGAAAAATACCGTATGCAACATAAAGACTGCTGGCGTAAAAGTAAGTCAGTAAAAAGAGTTAAATTATAAAACTCTAAATGAGACACATTTTAAGTGCCATGACTCCATCATCTGTGTATTTCACAACATTTACTCAAGTTTAGTTGAGCAATATTTGGATGGAGAAAGAACTTTTTTTGTTCAGTGCACGGAAACAACGATTAATACATTTATGGTAAAAAAAAAAAAAAACATTAAATGCAACATAAAGATGGCTGCCATGTATCATAAATGATCACTGGAAATAGAGCTTCATGAGTACCACAGTGTTCAGCTGTAAAATGTGGTTTACAAAACTCTGTATTTGCAACCAAATAGCCAGAGTAATTTTTGGCTGTGTACGTTTCTGCAAACTATGAATAAGTTACACAGGGTGTCTACCAGTATTAGACAGTTAAATTTAATGCTTTTAAGACGCATTCAAGACATCTTTTAACCAAATTTAGGACAGAACATGTTTTACTTATGTAAGCACTGCAGGTAAGTAGTAGCCTATACGTGTGCTCTTGTGCAGAGATAGGTGTTATGTAGAAACATGGTTATTAGAGTGAGTTAAGTCAGCCTACATTTTGCCAACAGGTGAGTGTAAGACTGAAGTAAAGTGGCAGGATTATAATTTTTTTTAAACATGTGTAACGTTAGAAATGTGGACTTCTACACAGAAAGGTTTCACTCATTTTCACTCAATTTCAAGAGAAATTAAAAATTGTCTGCAGTAGTTAAGACCTCACAAATTCAAATTTAAAACTATTTAATGACTTTTAAGGCCTTATTGTTGTAACACTGAATTTAAGACATTTTAAGATTTTTATGGAGCTGTAGACACCCTGTTACATCTGATTATTATGTAATGGTCATGTTGAAACTTAACGTTTCTTTACATTCCAACAATTTATCAGTTAATATGTGGTTAGGTTTGGACACAAAACCACTTGGTTATGGTTGGGAAAAGATAAGGTTTTTACTTAAAATACCCAGTTTTGGTACCACAATCACTGCAGGAAATGCATCGATGTCTCTGTTAAAAATAAACGCTTTTTACGACACTATTCCAGCTGGAAATGCATCAATGTTTCAGTAAAAAACTGCTTGTTGTGGCACTATGCCAGCTGGAAATGCAGTGATGTCTTGGTATATAACAGCCACTGTTAGTGCCATTAATCCAGCAGGAAATATAGTGATGATCCTTTCTTTTGCACATTTCCTCCACCTCCTGATGACAGTCAGCTTATTTACTATGTCACTTCAGAAACCTTGATATGGTACATTCAAATGTAATGTATCTGTGGTTTGCAGAAACGTACAATGCCAACGTTTTCTTATGGCAACTGGGCTGACATTTGACACTACATGTTTACTGTCATGATTAAATTAAAAAATATATTCAGGAGCATATCGTAAATAAGGACAGAAAAAGTCTTCACTCTAATTCATGACTATATAGAATCTATGAAACTATGAAAAGTAGACCAACGTTTAGATTGAGGGAGAATAACAACACAGAAAAAGTTATTCTTTTCAATATGCACACTGAATTGGGCGCTGTGTGTTTGGCACAGTTTTACTTTTCCGGTGTAGGATGTCTCTGACATATAGTTCTGATGTTCTGATCAGTGGTTGAAGAAATTAAAATCATTTACTCAATTAAAAGTAGCTGTTCCACAGTATAAAAACACTTGATTACAAGTTACAGTCCTGCATTCAAAATGTCTCTTAAATAAAAGTACATAATTATTATGCAACAAATTGTACTTAATATATGAAGTGAAAATACTCATAATGCTGAATGGCTACTGTCAGTGTCATTTTACTTTTTTACTGGAACACTACTGTCGATGTATTAATACGTAAGCAGTACTTTAATGTTGCCAATGGTCAGCGGAGCAAATTTAACTACATGTATTTTTAGTAGTTTAATTTTAACAATGGCTTGTTTTTCCTCAACCGATCATATATTTTGTATGTAAAACCTTAATCTGAAAAGTAACTGTAGCTCTTAATGTGGTGAAGATAAAAAGTACACAAAGTAGCATAAAATTGAAATACTCAAATAAAATACAAGTATTTTAAATTATACTTACAGGGATAGTTCAGATTTTTTTGTAGTGGGGTTGTATAAGGTACATATCCATAGTCAGTGTATTACCTACAGTAGATGGCGTTCAGTACATCCTCAGTTTGGAGAAGCAGACAGAAGTACTGCTGTGGATGGGGGCAGCAGCAAAACATATTTTAGACACCTAAAAACATCAATACCATTTTAAGTGTGTGCTACATTTAGAATATTTTAACAGCTTTACGTTTCCATCTGACAGCCAACATCGATGGGGACGCTATTTACAGCTTCATCTATGCTCTCGTCAAAGCCACCAGACTCCACTGACAAAACCAGTAATTTTACCTCACTGACCATGAGAGCTGCTGGTCTACTGCTGCTTCAATAAGTTAGTTAGTTTGTCTTACTGTGGGACTTTGGGTAATCCAACTAAAACTTTAAAAAATCAAAGTCACACAAATAAACTAACTGATCAAGGCATCAGTACACCAGCAGCTCCTGTGTTCTGCAATGTTAAATCACTGTTTTTCTCAATGGAGTCTGGTTTTTAGGAGAGTAATACAACTGCTTCAGATCCCCATCGAAAATTGCTGTTTGACAGCAAGGTAAAGTGGTGAAAATACTTTACTGATAGTGATTATTTTATGTGGCTAAAATATGTTTTGCCGCTGCCCCCCTCCACAGCAGTACATTGCTTAGCTTCTGTGGCGGTACTCCTGCCTGCTTCTCCAAACTGGGGGCGTGTCAACTGACATCTACTGTAGGTAATACACCAACTATGGATAAGTACCTCATACAACCCCACTCTAAAAACTCTGAACTATCCTTTTAAGTATAGTACTTAAGTAAATGTACTCTGTTACTTTCCACCACAGAGTCAGTACATTGGATGTGATCACTTGGAGCTGTGTTTTTTTGCCTCTTACTAACCTAAAACATTCACACGCTGCTCCTGTACACACGCATCCATTTCTCATTCCTTTAGGACGTCTTTGAGACAAAGTGCGATGAGGAGAGGAGAGATTTCGGCTACAGCATCATTCAGAGATTCCTCTGGAGTCAGGTCCGACAGCTACACAGAAAACACATCTTTACTTCTACACCAACTACTTCAGTTTGCTGATATCTTTACAAAAACCTGTTTTAACCTCTTCATCCTTGTGTCTTCAGTCCAATCAGTGTGTGTCCATCGTGCTGAAGCATGAACAGACCTGCAGACAGAATCTGGAGCTCGACCCCTGCATGGACGTCTTCCAAGACTGCAGGGAGTAAGTCCATAAATGCTCCTTCTGGCTATACGTTTGCGTATGTTTTCACAAGCTAACCTCTTTGTTTCATGTATTAGAGACCTACATAAATACTTGTGTGGCGAGCCCTTCCTCCAGTACCAGGAGAGCATGTTTTTTGACCGTTTCCTACAGTGGAAGATGTTGGAGAGGTCAGTGTGTGGGTGTTTCTGGAATAAGGAAATAAGACACCTATAAACTATGTGTGATGTGGTTTGTTGGGTAGCTGGTTTATCAGCTTGTACTTGGAAGCTTCGCTGCACACACTATTGACTCTGTGCCACATTAAACTGCATCAAGTTTCCATTACGACTTCCTTTTTTTTTTTCAAAGAAACAAATCCATTCAGAGTGAAAACAACAACCTGTCTTTCTCTTCAAGGCAGCCCATCACCAAGCAGACATTTAGACAGTACAGACTTCTGGGAAAAGGAGGGTTCGGAGAGGTAAGACCGCAGTTGCTTCACCTTAATGACAAAATATTTCTGTCTTATGGACATTACTGAAAGAGTTCTTTCATCCAAATTAAACAAATGTATATATAGTTTGGTGGTTGTATTTGTCCAGGTTTTGAGATATCTGTCTCTAGGATTGGAAAGGTTGGGCGTTTCATTTGCAGAGGTGTGAACTCGAAATTTGGACTTGAGTCAGAAATTTGATGGCTTTAGACTCGACTTGACAAAATCAAAAACCTGCAACTTGACTTGAACTTTAACACAGATGACTCGTCACTTCACTATGGCTTGAGCCTTCTGACTTTAAAAAACGTGATCGCTTACCCACAAGCCAAGAGATTGAGAAGCATTCATAGAATGTGCTACGAATAAATTTATCTCCCTTCATTTCCTGAATCAACTAACATTAACACTATTTATTCCCTGCAAGTTGACAGTAAATTCCCCAGTTCCATTTAGCTGAAACCAATCCGACAGCATCCAGTCAAGCTGTAGGACAGAACCATGAAAAACTAACGTTACGTTACTGAGCACTACCTTGAAAAAATATACCAAAAGACAATTTTCCTGCATACAAATACTGTGCTGTGGTCAACAGAAAATGAATGACAGTGTGCAAAACGTGTGAGCTGAAAATTACAGATGGAGACGCACCAACTACCAGCTTCATTCAACATTTGAAGTTGCACAAAACAAAAGTTCACTTCTTCAAGAAGGTCACAGTCCGGTTGTTTGGTGCACCTGAGTGTGACTGCTGTGTTCACATCTGCCCAAACAAACCGCACTTAGGAGGTGAACGAACTTGAGTTTGATTGAACCGAACTAAACAGGGCAGGTGTGAAAGCACCCTGAAACTCAAAGTTTAGGACTTGGGACTTGAGTGTGGAATTCAGGCAACCGGGCCTGCTTTGAACACTCTAAGTTTTTCAAAGTCAACGGACCCTGCGGGACACTCAGTTAAGAGCATCTAGGGGGCGCCAAGAGGCAGGGGCTGGGACAGACGGTAGCTCGCCCCATGGCAGAATATCAGCTTGATCCCAAGATCCGACTACTAGCTTTTTAACTGCAGCAACTTTAAGATACGCTATTGGAGCTGGAATGACCGCAGCTGCTGGTACCAGACTTGCCCTCCAATTGATCCTCGTTAAAGGATTTAAAGTGTACTCATTCCTACTACAGGGCCTCGAAAGAGTCCTGTATTGTTATTTTTCGTCCCTGAGTTGGGAGTGGGTAATTTGTGCGCCTGCTGCCTTCCTTGAATGTGGTAGCCATTTTTTCAGGCTTTCTCTTCGGAATCAAACCCTGATTCCCTTTTACCTGTAATCACCATGGTAGGCAAAGAAAGTACCATCGAAAGTTGATAGGGCAGACATTCGAATGAGATGTCGCCGCCACGAAGGCCAGCCATCAACTCAAGGTTATCAAGAGTCATCAAAGTGGCCCGGGGGGCACCCTGCATGGGTTTTGGGTCTGATAAATGCACGCATCCCTGGATGTCAGCACTCACTGGCATGTATTAGCTCTAGAATTGCCTCAGTTATCCAAGTAACGTTGGAGCAATCAAAGAAACCAGAGACTTACTTGCAACTTACGAAATAATAACTTGGTCCCACCTCTGTTCATCAGTTCAACAAGAACTATCTACATGGCACGTGAGGTACTTTGTTTTGCACTTACCAGTCAGTAAAAAGCCTGCCAACATCATCTTTAGCTGACAGGCAGCTGTGCGAGAGGTCGCTAGTAGCTGCTAACTTTTTCAGGACAATCTAAGTCATTTTAGGGTTAAAGCATTTTTGTTTGACTTGCAATAACCTGTGTGGCTCTGTGCATCTCCTTCTCATCCATTCAACATTTTCTCTGTCACTATTTGCTTGGTAGCTAAGCAGTTATGTAAGGAAAAGGGGACGTTGACATTCTTAAGGCCTTTACACACCGGGGGCGTGACGACTAAATGACATAAAAATGCAAAATACAAAGCGATTCCTTTCAGCAGTGATACACACGTGTGGACTTTTACAATAGGCCTGTCATCGTTGGAGATCCTTTCCACGATGTCTGTTCCACACAAAATGATTGGTTAAAACCTTTATCTGCCATGCAGAAGATCAGAAGAAATTGACCTCGATCTAAAAAAAAAAACCCCAACCTAAACATACACTGCTCTTTTACCACTTAATATTTGTGTTCTATATGAAAGCACTCATGACAAAAAACAAAACAAAAAAACATTTATATTTACAGGTGAATTAAACGCACAAAGCCTTTATGGTCGAGTCTTGCTCAGTTAGAGAGAAGGAAACTAGAGAGCGAAGTTCAACCCTGGCGCCCATTTCTTACCTTTACACAGCTGATCCATTACAGTGTGAGGTGGGTGTGATTGTCAGGGGCCGGTTGCACAAAGCACCCTAAGTTTGCTCCTTAAGTATGACACTTAAGATTTAGTTTTTCCTTAGCTAAGGAAATTACTTAGGGGTGTTGTACAGGATCTCTTGAAAGTTTGAAAGCAAACTGCAACGATTGGAAAGGAAATTAACCACAATGCTCAGCAGATGGGTGAGGGCGTTTGAAACCCGGTGAATGACAAGGTGTACTGTTGACTTGCGTACATGAAATACCTTGCCAATAAGTGATTGGAAAGGTATAAAACACTGCATAAAACATCAGAGCAATCATTAATTGTTACAGGGCTGGAACAGCCCAGCTTCAGAATGTTAAGTGATCCAACTCCAAATCAGAAATTGACCTCTGGTAAAATTTGAAATGCAAACTCAATTGTTCATCATTAAGGGTTCCATCGAGTTCACCTCAGGATGCCTTAATTTCCCTCACTGACACACTCACTTATGTTGCTGTTAAGATGTAGTCTGAGGTACCTTATGTTGTTTTTTGTTTACTTTGGTTGCTAAGGTCCTCCGTGCACCGGTTTCATGAACTTTAAGCAATTCCTTAAGTATAAGACCCAGGTAAGGAGAAAAACGGAAGAAGACTTGAGGGTGTGTTGTGCAACTGATTTTATCTAAAGGAAACTCGGATTTAAAGGAAAATCTTCACCTAAGGTGCTTTGTGCAACCGGCCCCAGACCCCTTAGTCTAAGAAGTATACTGGCCCACTGAATCTCACTAACAAAGCTGCCTGGTCGGGCTGCCCCGGTTCAAACCCTGCAGGGGACCTTTGTTGCATTACTGTCTCCCTTATTTCCTGTTTCCTGCCATCTGTCCACTAACACAGTCTAATAAGATGCCCTTAATTATCTAACATAGTTCTGACTGGTCAACTGTCTCTCCAACTAAGGAGTACAACACTAGACTTGAGAATCCCTGAAAAGTTTGGAGGTGAAGGCGGCAATTCAGAGGCCTGAGATACTACTAGAGGTCTGTTTTTAATTCATAATATAACTTTAATTCTACAAAATATATTCATCAGTGGATTTCCTCTGGTTTTTAAACCGACCTCTCTGACTGCCTTTAATCATGCAGTTTCATTTAAGGCCAATTTTTGCAAATCGAATCCCATAAAACAAATCAAAATACAAACGAAATAAATAATAAAATTAGTTGCAGACAACTGACATTGGGCCGTCCTGGTGTGGAAATAAGTCTGCAGACCATCATCATCTCTGAACAAAAGCAATCCACACATTTCTTTAGCTCCCTCTTTCAACAATCTGTTAAAACAGCAACCCTAAAGGAACATTCTACCAAATGTACGTGTCACAACTCAGTCACAGAGTCCATTTCCATTTGTCAAACAGTTAAGTAACAATTGTTGTTTTGTCAAGTCAAGGCCAAAAGCCGGCATTACAAACTGGTGAAGTGGAGTTTGAGAGTCGAGGGCATTTACCAATCAGTGAGATGCTGTTTAGGATTCAACGTTTTGGGAGCTTGACCCAAACCAGGAAGTATTATGCAGAATATCTCACTTGATTTTATTCTGTCTCCAGCTTTATGGAAGTGCAACACTCACTGGGACACTATCTCTTTCAAACACCACTATAATCTTTCATTTGTCCTTTGACCATATTTTTGTCTTGCAGGTGTGGGCTTGTCAGGTGCGAGCCACAGGAATGATGTACGCCTGCAAAAAGCTGGAGAAGACTCATGTGAAGAAGAGGAGAGGAGAAAGCATGGCTCTCAACGAGAAAGAGATCCTGGAAGGGCTGGACAGTCGATTTGTGGTGAGATTACTACGATTACGCCCTTTCATATCTCGCAACCCATCAACTATCATCTGACAATGATAGAGTGAATATCCAGGTCAAGACTTCCTCTTACGTATGCCACTAATTGTTAACACTCTGATTAGCAGCTTGAGACAGATCCAGAGAACCTAACAACTAATCTCTATAGATATCTGGGTATGAATGCTGATTCATGGATTCCTCGGATGCATTTCAGCCAGTGCCTTCTGCCTCTTTCGCTTTCCACAGAACTGTTTATCTGCCGCCCAAACATGATTGGTCAATACTACTCGTACTACAAACAGAAACCAGAATGATTCCAGTAGCAGAATATCCTCTCCTCGCCTACAGATTCTGCAGACATATTCTGCCTGTTTTCCATTGCTTTTAAAAGCTTTCAAACCCAAAAAAAATTAAGGATAAGTCTATTGATTTTCTAGCATTTTTCTAAATTAAATCAAAGGAGTCTCTCAGATGCTCAGGCAGTATGTGCCATATAGACTTGGGCCACAGTTGCTAAACGCTGATTCCCCATGGAAATGTTTTGTTGAAATCCTTGGGACAACCAAGAGGCCAGCAGTAGAGGAGCTAAGGGACCTGCTGGGTACATATCTAAGAAGCATGTCTGAGAGATAAGCTGGTGCCAGGCCATTCAGTGATTTAGGGTGCTTTCAGACCTAGACTTGTCTTGGTCTGAATCAGGGACTAATTTTGTACCAAAGTTGCATAATTGCCTAGAGTTGGTTTGTGTTCTCACGGCAGCATTTACAAGTGGACCAGATCAAATGCCTTGCGCGAGAAAGCTGCTCTTGATTGGTCAGAATTTCCATGTGGGAAAAATCCAGGAAGTAAAGCAAACGTTGAAGAAGAGTACACTTGCAAGATAAATGTGACACTTTCTAATGTCACAATGGAGGGACAACTACGCAGGTTGATTTTAGCGCTGCTCTTCGTGGACTATATTGCTGTCATTGTTCATTTTAGTCAAATCATACAGTTTGAAAACGAGGCGCGGCTCCAACTAGAAAACAATGTTTTGATGCATTGGATGTGCTGAATGTGCATATTAAGGCAGTACAGGAGGAGGTGCACATTAATAATCCTCCAGGACTGTAACATGCTCATGTTTAACCCAAACAATGTGTCATGTGACTGCAGTTGCTTCACATCCAGGTCGGAACACCTTCTTCAGACCACCTCTTCAAGAAGGTCTCGGTCCGGTTGTCTTGTTGCGCACCTGAGTGTGATTGCTGTGTTCACACCTGCCCAAACCAACTGTACTTAGGGGGTAAACAAACTTGAGCTCAGTTGAACCGAACCAAACAGGGCAGGTGTGAAAGCACCCTTGCAAACTAATAAGAGAATCTTAAAATCAATTCTAAAACCAATAGACAGCCAATGCAATGCCTTTAAAATAGGACTTACATGTGCTCTTTGTCTGGTCTTCGTCAGTGTTCTCGCTACTGCATTCTACTGTCAACAAATCACAAACCAAACCTTTCTGTAGTATTGTCTTTGTGGCCATCGATAACACATCAGTGAGCCACACTGTTGCAGTAGATGACTCAACCCCACATACACCGTCCTGCTGCCTCAAATTCCCACAACAGCACCAAATGGGGATTAATCCGCCGCTGAAAATAGTCCCTAACAAACACTGTTTCATGCTGTTTTTTTTTTTTGATAAAAACTACCATGATATTTGTGAGGTGTTTTGTGTTGAAAGAGCTAATGTCGTCACAATACCAGAATTTTAAACTTTGATACAATATTTGTATAAACAAATGATACTCAACAATTCATTCTATACCACGGTTAAAAGAAAAAAGTAAACATTTAGCATTTGTTATAATGTTAATACTAATTAAAATTATCATTGCTCTTCTTAAATGTTTTCCCTACCTTGTAGGCCTACACACTCTTTGCTGTTATTATTGCTTTTAGTATATTTCTTTTCTTATTTGTGTTGCTTCACTTTGTAGACACAGCACAGCAGTCTCCATGGAAACAAGAACACCTGTTGTTTAATCTGTGCAGCCTTGGGTTAAAAGAGGTTCTATCATTTTAAACACGCGGTATTAAAAATGTATTGAAGTATCGGTAGCTGTGACAACTTTATGGGGCTGAAAGCTACAGACAGGAAGTCAGAAAGAACTGATGGACAGACCTTACAGAGGATCCACTCATAACAACACCAATATAAAATACTGCCAGCCTCAAACTCAGACTCACACTTTAAGTGATTTACACTTCAACATGCACGCCTTCATTCTCTATTCCAGGTGAACCTGGCATACGCTTACGAGACCAAGCACGCCCTCTGTATGGTTCTGACCATGATGAGTGGCGGGGACTTGAGGTTTCATATTTACAACATGGGAGAGCCCGGCCTGGACAAAGACAGAGTGTGCTTCTACGCTGCAGAGGTCTGCTGTGGTTTAATGCACCTCCACCAGAAGTCAATATTATACAGGTCAGTGTGTGTCCGCCTCAGCAACGGTGGTGGAGGGAGTGGACACCCAAGCGTAAAGGTGGACACCCAAGATTAATGTCATCAGTTTGGTGTTTGACTAAATGTCAATGTTCACTTATAACACTGAGTAATGGCCAGAAGTGTGTTTTTGCTGTTATGATGTCACAGTGAAATTGACCTTTGACTATGAATATAAAATGTCATCACTTCATTATTTCATCATATTGGACATTTGTGTAAAAAGTTGACATACTCAGTGTACGAACTCTTGAGGTATGGCCAACACATGTTGTGTGAGGTCACAGTGACCTTGACCTTTGACCACAAAAATCTAATCAGTTCATTCAATCATTCAAGTGGACGTCTGTGCCTAAGTTATGGAATTCCATCAAGGCCTTTTTTAAATAGTGTGTTTGCAAGAATGAAACGGACGCAAAGTCACAGTGACCTTGACCTCTAACCGCCAAAATCTGATCAAATCATTCTTAAGTCCAAGTGGACATTTGTGCCAAAGTTGAGGAAATTCCCTCAAGGCCCTCTTGAGATACCATATTCACAAGAATGTTATGGATGCAAGGTCAAAATGACCTTGACCTTTGACCACAAAAATCAAATGAATTCATTCCAGTGTCTAAGTGGACCTTTGTGCAAAATTTGATTAATTCCCTCAAGGTCTTCTTGAGTTATTGCAGTCATGAGAATGAGACAGACAAAGTCACAGAGACCTTTATGTTTGATGACCAAATTCTACTAAGGTTATCCTTGAGTCTAAGTGGACGTTTGTGCCAAATTTGAAAAAAAAAAAAAAAAAATCCCTGTAAGGTGTTCACGAGAATGAGACAAACACAAGGTTGCAGTGACCTTGATCTCCGACCACCATAATCTATTCAATTCATAATTAAGTCCAAGAGGATGTTTTGCCAAATTTGGAGAAATTCCCTCAAGGCATTCCTGAGATATTGTGGGAATGGGACAGACGTACATTGAATTAATAACAAATTGTGATATTTTATAAAATATATTTTAAAAGCTCGTTGTATGTTTTGTGTGCAAAAATCTTAATTTGTAAAGTAACTACAGCTGTCAGATAAATGTCGTGGAGTTGAAGCAGAGACTGGCATGAAAGGCAAAGTTCAAATACTTCCAAATTGTACTTACGTACACTACTTCAGTAAATGTACTGTCCTGCACTTACTAAATCTATTGTTTTGTTTTAACCTCCAGGGATATGAAACCAGAAAACATTCTGTTGGATGACAACGGTATGTACAGTCAAAGTAAACACCTCCTGTTTTTTTCAAGTGTGCAATAAATAGATCATACACAACAGCTAACATTCACTAATGACCTACAGGAAGATCAGATTCCAAACTACGTAAGCAGAATATGATGAAATGTTCAACAGCCACCTTCTTGACTATTTTTAGCTCTTAAATTAGTCTAGTAATGATCAAAATGATAACAATTCAAGTTAAGCCAGACAATCATGTTGATGGTATTTTGACAAGGATTCAAACAAAGGCAGGTTGAGGAAGTGAAAGGCCTGTGGGAATCAGGTGTGGTGTCTGTTTTAAGAAACCTCTGCACCTGTTCCTGCATTCTTGGCAGCACGTTTGGAGACCTGGCACTACCTTTTGCTTTTACGTGTTTCCGTAATTACAAATTACTGGTTAGAGTGCCTACAGTGTCACATGGTTATTGTATTATTTCCAAGAACCAGTGATAGATTGTGCTGCGTGCCTCAGCAGAGCCAAAGGGGAGGGAAGTAAAGGAATTCATTGAGCAGAAGGGAAAGTCCGTCATAAAAAAAAAAAATCTAAACCAGTTCAGTGAATTTTTTGGTATTTGTTCCCTCAAGGACATATCCGCATCTCTGACCTGGGCTTGGCTGTGAGGCTGTCTGAAGGGAAACTGGTGCGAGGAAGAGTGGGCACACTGGGATACATGGGTATGTATGTACCTCACATTATTGATTTCCAGCCAAAGTCTGCAAAGGACCAAGAGTCTGTCGGCTTTTGTTACAGCAGAATGCCCCAGAGGCTAATTTCTGCAAGCGGCTCTGTGAAGCTATAAAGAAAACCAGACTCCCCAAGAGATAAAAGTTGAGGTCCAAACTGTTCTCAATCTTCAGCAGTCAGGGTTTAGGCTGTTTGCACAATCAGTTTATTACAACACCTATTTATGTTTATCTTTAGGCTACGTTGGAACAAAGGAAGAAGTCAGGTTGTGCAGCATAGAAATTGACAAAGTCCATGTAGCGAGGAGGTTGGAGTGGATAGACGGATCAAACACAGGTTTTTGACCCAGGAGACTGTTGTTTGTGTCCTGTGTCAAACCAAAAGTTAACTTAGGTAGTGTACTTCACGTACATAACATTAAGTTAACTTGCATACATTATTCAAGTTACATAACAGACTTACTTATTGTAACTAAAACCATGATCTTTTCGGGGCCCAGTAGCTCTGCAAGTAGAGCGGGCATCCCATGTACAAAGGCAATGCCCTTGCTGCAATGGCCGGCGGTTTGATTCCAGCTTAATTAAAGGCAAAAAGCCCCCAAAAATAATTGTTAAAAAAAAAACAAAAAAAAAAAACATGATCTTTTCCTAAACCAAACCGAAATGCAACCGTTTTACAACATTACGTAGTATTTACTTTGTGAGTTAGTTGAAGGACTTTCACCCAGGAGACCGCTGTTTGTGTCCCATGTAAAACCAAGTCAACGTTGACTTATTTTAACTTCCAGACATAAGTTTACTCATGTCATGTTCATAACTCATGTCACGTACATAACATATGTAATCTTACCTGCAAGTCGTAACGGACTTATTTTAATTAACATAGGTAAGTTAACTCCTGTAATACACATAACTGATAACACGTACATTACAGATGTTATCTTACCTACATAAGTTACGTAACAAACATACTTACTATAATCCAAAATATATTTTCTTGTTTCACAACATTAAATAGTAGTTACCTTGTTAGTTAGTACTTAGTTACAGGACTTTGACCCAGGAGACTTCTGTTCATGTCCCATGTGAAACCAAAAGTCAACGCTGCTTTATTTCAACTAACGTACGTAAATTAACTCATGTCACCTACCCAGCTTACATCTCATAGGTAACGTTAAGTTAACTTGCGTATGTAAATTGAGTTATATAACATACTTATTTTAGCCCACATAATTATCTTTTCCTAAATGTAACCAAGTACTTTTGGTTGGTAAACCTAACCAAACTGTGACCGTTATTACAATGACAACATTACATAGTATTTACTTTGTTAGTTGGTACTTAGTTACAAAACTTTGACCCAGGAGACTGCTGTTCGTGTCCTGTGTGAAATCAAAACTCAGCACTGAATTATTTCGAATCCCTTACGACAGTTTACTAATGTAATGGACATAGCTGATATCATGTATGTAAGTTATGAAACAAACATCTTTTCCTATCCTAACCAAGTAGTTTTGGTGGGTAAACCTAACCAAACTGCTACTGTTTCCCAACGTTAAACAGTAGTACTTACTTAGTACTTAGTTAGCTGACAAACTGCTGTTTGTGTCCTGTATGAAAATACAACATTGTCTTATTTTAACTCTTTAACTTTTATCATGCACAAGTTAATTTATGTAACATACTTCACTTAGGTATTTTTAAGTCTTTTACAAACCTAACCAAGTAGTTTTGATGCATAAAACTAAACAAACTGCGACCTTTTCATAACGTTAACTACGTGTTTACAACTGCAACTGTTACACAATGTTAAATAGTAGTTATTGGATGTAACTCCAGATCTATGGGTACATGCATATGCCAGTCATTGGCATATGGCCTATTTTGTCTTTAAGGTATGCGGATGTGTTGGTTATCTAGATGTCCTTTCCTGATTGTTTGGTGTCCCACATGCACCTCTGCTGCACATGTAAAAATAACATAACCAGTCTTTTCCTTGATATATTTTTTTCTTCATTTCCTCTGACATCATTAAACCTGATATGTAGAAAAGTATTGATGTGGTTTACTTTGGCCCAAACTAGGCTGGCACATTTAATGAGGAAAACACTTACTGTCGTTTCTGTTATTGATGAATTAATCTGTGGTGTTTGGATGGGATTAAAACCTCTGTAAGCCACATAAAAATTCTACAGTAACACCCATATTAACCCATCTACATTACATTACAAGCTGCTGCAGACAGGAGTTAATTGATCTGCATCCTCATTTCAGCTCCTGAGGTGATCAGCCAAAAACATTACGGGATGAGCGTTGACTGGTGGGGCCTCGGCTGTCTGATTTATGAGATGACTGCTGGGCAGCCCCCACTCCGAGCACGAGGAGAGCATCCTAAACCCTCCGAGATGGAGAGAAGGATTCAGACAGAGGAGCTGGAATTTAGTGAGAAGTTCAGCAAGGAGGTGAAAGACCTCTGCTCCTCGGTAAGTCCAGAAACTGCTTGATCAAATCCAAAGTCCATCTTTCAAGGAATCAACAGGTTCTATTTCCTGTGTTGTAGCTCCTGAACAAGGACCCAAAACAGAGGCTGGGCTGCTGGGGCTCAGGGGGGAAAGAAGTACAGTCGCATCCTTTCTTCCGAAAAATCAACTTCAGGATGCTGGAGGCCGGACTCGTCGAGCCTTCGTTCAAACCTGATGCAAGTATTCTGATGATTTATCCAACTTAAAGTGATTTAGACACAAAGACTGCCTCTGCACATATGTGTATCGGCTTTATCCCATAACATCTGACATGGACAGTGTATACTCTACGACAAGAAAAGGCACTGGTCCTTGCTGCAGCAGCCGTAGGCTCGATTCCAGCCTGATGCCCTTGGCTGCTTTTTGTCCCCTTTCTCCCTCCCCTATCCTATCCATTAAAGGCAAAATCCCAAAAAATAATCTTTAAAAAAAGTGTTAATTTCAATAGCCTTTATGTTGTCCTACAAAAATACCACTATCTATTGACTATATTTTGTATTATACTGTATTAAATAAATACATATAATGGAGTAAATAGCACAATATTTCCCTCTGCGGTGTTGTAGAACAGAAGTATTAAGTTGCAGAAAACGAATATACTCAAGTAAAGCAACTCAAATTGTACTTAAATATAGTATTTGAGTAAATGTACTTAGTTACCTTCGACCACTGGGGGGTGATAACTCATCTCACTGTATGTCGTGATGTGTTTTCCCTCCTGTAGCCCAGACTGGTGTACTGCAGCGACGTGCAGGACATTGATGAGTTTTCTACAGTGAAGGGAGTCGTTCTGGACGAGAGAGACGACTTCTTCTACTCCAAGTTCAACACAGGCAGCGTCCCTATAACCTGGCAAAATGAGGTACGTCCATAACATCACAATATCTGTCCAGACAGAATCTATAAAACCTTTTAACAATCAGCTTACCATTAAAGCCTAGTTATAGGTTAAATTCAAAACCTACAGTAATGACTTTAACTTGATTAAAGGGGAATGAGCAAAAAATTTGAATTCTGACACCAGCTAAGGAAAGTACTAAAAGGAAACTTAAATAATGCTTAAACAATATTTATTTAAATATTATCCCCCTCCCCAAATGTAAATACAGGAAAAAATTACAAAGGCAATTGGAGGAGTGTCTATTTTAACAGTACAGGTAACACACAAACACACTGTTTTACAGTCATGTGTATTGAAATTTTTAGATCTGGCCAAATTTAAAACTGCAATTATCATGTTTAAAGCGAGAACTAATTCACTTCCTAGGAAGTTATAATTTCACAGATAAGAAACAATAAATTATGAAGACAGTAAAGCCTCCACAAAAATAGCATTTTAAGTCTTGTGTGTGATTTATCCTGGCTTCATATGAGCTGAGTAAATCTCTGCTTGTTGCTAGGCTAATTTATTCAATGTAAAATTCCATAGGCTTGTGCTAATAACTTTAGCATGTTATATTTGTTTGGAAAACGTGTTTAGTATAAGACAGTTGTTTTGTCAGTGAACCTTGTGAGTTGTAATGGAGCCAAATTTTGTAACGTTACCTTTGTTACATGTTGCTGTTGTCCCTGGAAGAGAAAAAGTTCGCTAGCTGCTAGGCTAATTTATACAATGTAAAATGCCATAGGCTTGTGCTAATAACATTAGCATGTTGTATTTGTGGGGAAAATGTGTCCAGATAAAGACAAGTGTTTGTCTGTGAATGCTGCGAGTTATAGTGAAGCTGATTTGTGTACTTGAGTTTGAAATTGTCTCTATTAAGCCATGTTTAATGTGTGTTTAATGTGTGTTTTGAATTTATTTTATAACATTGGGTGGTATTTGGACTGTAAATAAACTGGGTTAAATTCTTATTTATTTAGTTGGTTGGTAAATAGACTGGGGATAGTAGTATATTAGTTGTAAAAAAATTTGGGATTTTTTTTAAACTAATATAGGAGTTAGAAGAAGAAATGTAAGAAAGGGGTATGGGACATAAATGTTTTACTTCTACCTTCTCCTTTTCGGACACTGTTATCTTTGTATTATTTTTTTTTTTTAATTTTTGGTTCAAAAAAAGTCATTCATTCATTCAATAACTATCCTCTTAGTCTAGCTTAAAACACTTTTCCTTAATGAAAGTAATTGAAGTGAGGAAAGTGAGGAAAGTGTCAATGTTAATCTTTCAAAATGCAAAAATAGAAACCAGGAAAAAGCAATATATTGCAAAAAAGAAATGTATCCCAAAAAAAGGGGAATCAAACTCACTGGGTTGGAATCAGGAAAGGAAACAACCCGGTCTTATCTTGTCAGTTTGCTCCACACACCCTGGTTATACCTCTGCCCTCAGCCGGTTGAGGAAACACCATAAACAAGAGTTTTTTCCCATGGCAGTGTGTCCAGCTTCCGCATCTGTCCTCAGCTTCCTCCTCCACAAACAAAATGAAAACAAACCCTCCCCAAACAACTCCCTCCTCCTTCGTTACCAAAGGCAGCAGCACACCTGAACAGAGTAAACCAGCAGGTGGCAATGAGTTAGAGCAGGGCTGAGAGAGAGATGCTGTGAGTTATTTTGAAGACTATCCTATTCTAGAACCATGTTTCACCCCTCAGCTCTGTGGTGGTGTCACAACCTCACTATCTTTCTTTTCTTGTAGGTGATAGAGACGGGATGTTTCAGGGAGCTGAACGTTTTTGGCCCTGAGGGGTCTCGATCTGCAGATCTGGACTGGACTCAGATCCCTGAGAGACCCAAACCCAGCCTGCTGGACAGAATCTTCCGCAGACACGTAAGAAAGAATATTTTTACTACAGCGTTGGACGAAGATTTCAGATTGTTTATTTGAGTAAAAGTCCAAACACCACACTGTGAAAATATTCCACTAGGTGCTAAAGATGAATGCTAATAACAACGGGCTCTGAGTCTGCGACAACCCCTTACAAAATGCTGTGAAACAGAAGTGCAAGAAGAGTAAACTAGCTCCAACAAATTTAGGATGTGAGATTTAGAAGTATTAGACTCAGCGTTTCTGTTACACAGGTAAGAAGGAGTGCTAAATGACTATCAGTGACGGCTCAGTGGATCGTTGGCTCCCCACTCCCACGCCTGGACGAGATCTGCTCGAGCCGTCTCCTGAGACAGGCCACAAAGATCAGAAATGACACCACCCACCCAGGACACTCCCTGTTCACCACCCTCCCCTCTGGCAGACTCAGAGTCATGCGGGCCCGCACAAACAGATTCCAACACAGCTTTTTCCCCATGGCTGTGAAGAGATTGCTGCAAGGACAGTAACTGGACCACTTGCTCCCCTGCACTACACACTTTATATATATTTATTGATTATATATTTATAACTGCCTCTTTTGCACACTTCTGATTTTAATATATATATATATATTTTTCATTTTATTTAAGACACTCGATATACGGTAGCTGCTACAGGAATTGCTGCCAAACAAAGTTTCGTTGTATCGTGTGTACAATGACAATAAAGCTTCTTCTTCTATCTCCTGAGGCACTCTCCTCCCAGCGAAACCTGATAATAACCTTTATGTTAGCCGTGTGATGCTAACAGTTAGCCTTGTCACTGTAGCCATTTTCACACATGCACTGCAAACCTGAAATTATCTAGACATCACTCCCGGGAGCTGTGCGTGAGAATGCAAATGTCCAAATCAGTTGGATTGGACATCAAACGGGCTTTACTCTGCCAGCTCCCAAGAACAAAGTTTGTAATGTCAAATTGAGCCCGTGTGTGAACTATCCGGAAAGTTCACAGCAAGGCGAAGTGTGTCTGACTGCTGAGCATGGCCTCTTCCTGTGTCCGTCCTTTCAAATTAAATGCCCACATGGTCCAGTCAACCTTTGGTCAACCATTAGGTAGGCCCTAGTATAGAATACAACATTTACCTCTGAGATGTAGTGGACGAGAAGAACAGAGTAACCGAGGATTTCTACTTCCACCACTGCTCTACTGTTTCTCAAGGTATCTGAGTATTTCTGTAAAGGCTGAATATTTCTCTCCTCCAACAGCATCATTCAGATCCATCAGATGAAAGCAAACAGAGCTTGGTGTCCCATGAAAGCTTCATGAAGTCAGGACTGGTCAGCACGACCCTCTGAGGACGCTCACGGCACAGACATTGCTTTAAAGACTCTAAGGCACAAACATCCACTGGAAAAGACAATGAAGGCAGTTCTGTTCTCACCTGTAAATAACAGTTTAGCAAAGGTTTCTTTGTATTTGTACAGTTCTCCTCTCACTTACACGAGCACTTTGTTTCTTCTCAGGTAAAAACAAGATGTATAATTTTGCTGTTCTGTCATTTACTCACATGCAACGACATAAAATCAAATTAGTGGCATTTTGTCAAGTACTTGAATTTTTATACAACTCACACAACATACAGTTTGAAGCTACTTGATGACAACAAACTGTAAAAGGAGCGGACGCAGCCACCGTGATGTCACCCACTGGTTCGTGGACTACTGTTTTGAGGCCTCGAGTTCTGCATCTCGACATCAACATCTCGTTTTTGTGGAGCCAGAAGTGACCATATTTTGACAAGAGGGTGGAGCTGTGGAGAATACTCACTACGCCTCCATCCTAATTGACAGGTTGCTATGGTAGCGACTTGTCAATCACAAGGTGCCCAGGCTCTGCATAGATGCGTGGACGTGCACCTCTCCAGAAATGTAACTACACATCACAGCAACGCAGACTTCCTGTTTATTTTTGTAAACTGAAAACCATTTCCCTCAGTGGAAACAAAGCTTTTATTTACTTTTATTTTGCAGATATGAAACAATAAATTGTGAAGACAATAAAGCATTTGAGATGTGTGTGATTTATCCTGGCTTCATTCAAGTGGAGAAAAATTCAGCTAGCTGCTAATTTATGCAGTGTAAAATGTGAACAACTTATGCTAATGACGTTAGCATGTTGTATATGTAGGGGAAAACGCGTCTGGTTTAGGACAACTGTTTTGTTGGGGAACCTCTTGAGTATAATGGGGACAAATTTTGTAACGTTACCTTTGTTAAATAAGGAGATTTTTGTACGTTTGCTCAATAGTGTCACTACTAAACCATGTTTAATGTGTTTTAGGTGTGTTACTTGATTCAATCCAATTTTTCTGCACTTCACAGAAACCCAACACAGTGGCAAAGAAACCCCATCACTACCTAGTGTTCTAGAGGTGTGATTTAAGAGCAACGAACACACTACTGCAAAAGTATAAATCATTATACATCTTTGATATAAATGCACACAATGGCGTGAGCGTCTTGCATTGACTACAGCCTCGGCGCTGCGTAGAGGCTTTGAACAACCATACCCTATTTTAACTCTTAATGTAACCATAGTTTACAAAACATCATGCTGCATTGAAGAGCAGTTGAAAGTAGAGATTGTGACCATTAACTCATGAGGAAGATGTTTACCAAGGTAATAAATCAAGTGTTAAGTCTGGTTTTGCAACCAGTAGGGTCGCCCCCTGATGGCCATTAGAAAGAATGCAGGTTTGAGGCACTTCTGCATTAAGGTTAAAATAGTTTTGAGTTTTCAATTCGTTTTCCTATTTCGTTTTAGTTCAGTTTCAGTTTTTCAGAATGTTGTGGCCAGGTATAATGTCTCAGAAGTGCGTAGTTACTTAAACATACAGACTGCATGGTTGGAGTACTGTGTAGGAACGGCCATAATGTTTAATCTTTGCACTTCTTTAAAGTCCGATGTGAAGCAACTGCAGCATAGTGTCATCTCCTAGAATGTCAAGTCTGTTCAGTTTCTGTGGTTCAGTGTCACAAGAGTTGATGGAAACTGCTGCTGCCTCCTTTTTTGGTTGTACAATGTTACAGCCAAAAAAACTAAAGCTGACTTTACATTTCTTTTCATTTAATTTTATTGGGGTTTTTTAACCAGGCAATGTTGTGTCAGTTTAATTTTTGTTGTTCTTAAAGGATATTGTTTTCATTATAGTGTTCCCACACATTTTCATGGACAAAATTTCAAAACTTTTCCATGACTTTTCAAGGACCCTTAACATTTTTTTTTCTTGCGCAACATTTTTTCCAACATATCAGACTCAAACTCTATTCAAACATAGTTTCAGCTAATAGGCGTACCTGAAGGAAGAGACAGAACATTGTCACTCATCGACACATATTAGAGCTATGTTACATTGACAGTTACAGAAAATAATTTGCCGGTATGTTACATTATGTTGAAGGTTATCCTGGGAAAATTACTGTAATAATTTCAATGCACAAATTCCATGACTTTGATATTTTTAGCTTTCCAGACCTTGAAAATATAACTGTGAAATTCCATGACTTTTCAAGGTTTTCCATGACTGTGGGAGCCCTGTATTTAGCTTCAGTTTGCGACAATATTTTTCACTGCTTATTTTTGTTTTAGTTTACAATAATAAACGTGTTCCGCATTGGCTTTACTTTTCAGATTTCCATCCACAGGCTACATCCACGTCTTTTATACAGTTTATGTTCATGTTTAAAAATTATTTAATCAGTTGTGCTGTTTTAGCTGAAATGGCTGATATATACATACAATACGCCAGATTTTTTTTATCCAATTGTTCCGACTGTAGTGTAATGTACTGATTTACTGAAGACATATACTGTACCTTTTAGCTGACCTTTAAAAGATATGTGTTGAAGCAATATAATCTGTGCAACTGACAAATTACACACTGGTTTAATATTTCATGTATTCTTATGACACACACACACACACACACACTCATTGAGCACTTAAGCATTGTGGTGGAGAAGTACCTAGGACTCACTGTGAATTATTTCTAAAAATAGCATGAGGATGGGTTCAGAAAACACTAGTGGAAAATTAGGGGAATTACAGCTTGTCCTGAGAATGACCCTAGTAAGAGGAGGCGGTCTTAGATCTAGGAAAAACATTACTCAGCAGAAATATGACACCATTATGGTGGAGAAAAAGTGACTCAGCAGAGGTGGGATATGTTACGATCAGAGCCAAGTGGGAAGGATTAAGGGAAAGAGATGACTCAGCAGAAATTCTACGATAAAAGAGTGAGCGCAAACAAAGAAATTCCAGCCTTGCTCCGGAGCTTGGCTCATTTGGGTTGTGATGTGTTTGTTGCCTGCGAGCACATTAAACTCAGTTGCATCTGATTCTACGTGTCGCGAGCTAACCGGCCCGGCTCGGGACCTTGACTTTTTTGCTTCTACACTAGCCACAGTTTTATTCAGATTAAAAGGAGAAATAAGCAAGGCATATAAGCACTGTTTTTTCTTTCTACTGAGGCCCCAAAAAAACTACTCATGTCTACAGTAAACAAAGGCTATAACTTCTGAGGGTTCATACGTGGGCCTTGTTCATTATCATGCTTAAATGATAAAGTGATAAGCTGTTAGATATAAAATTTATCCTGAACAAAAATGACCAAAACACACTGGTTTCACATTTCCTTCTGGTTCCAAGTATGAATATTTGCCGATTTTATGAAGTCTTATATGACAATATCTTTGGGTTTTGGATGGTTGGTCAGATGAGACAAGACATTCAAAGACGACACCTCGAATTTGTTTAAATTTTTCAGTATTTCCTGACATTTTATAGAACAAATGAGTAATTGTGTAAATAATTAACAGATAAATTACTAATGGAAATAATCTGTAGCTGCAGCCCCACTTTATTTTAAAGGCTCACAAGACAAAAAGGTCGGGAACCACTAGTTCAGTTTTAAAGTGGGTTTTTATGAAGTACGTAGCTATAGTCAGTATATTACCTGCAGCAGACAGTGGTCATCATTATCCTACGTTTGGAGAAGCAGGCAGGAGTATCGCCACAGAAACCAAGCAATGAACGACTTTGGACATTTTAAAGCACAAATGATTAATAAATAACTAAAAATAATTGTTAGTTTCACCCCTACTTCATTTTAAAGGCTCATGAGCCACACTGATTTGATGTCAAATGCACAAATCTTTGTCTGAAATCCAGATTTAATGAATGAGTTCAACTTCGTCCATGTAGCATTTTTTTTATTTAACCCAGAGTATAAAACAGTAAATAACTGACACACATTGTAAAACAAATAAAATTAGCAAAAAACACTGAATACATGAAAGAGTGCAGAATTAACAGTTGTCTACAGATGATGTGTGAAGTGTTAGAGTGGGTCCGTTTGGCCGCAACAATACGCAGAGCGTCAGAGGTTCGACTTGATACCCAGAGAGATCTCTCTACAGCAAAACAATAACTTCAAAATATACATATTTGAGAGCGGAGCACCAAAAATACGTTGATTGAGTTGTCAGATGTTCAGAGCGGAATGTCTGCTGATGGCACGTTAACAAACAAAGATACGCAGCCATTCAATATTAGCTTGGTGTAGCCTTTTTTAGAGCATATTCATTATTCTCTTCATGTCTTGCGAAACGAATATCGCAAGAGCAGAGAAAAACTTCTCTGAGCTACAGTTTGCTGCAGCATGTGGTGCTTTTATTTTACTGTCAGAGGTCGGAACAATTGTTTGACTGGGGCGTGTGTGCGTACTGACTATCAAGCCATGCTCATCCTTCCCACGGAGGGCTGCGCCGTCCATCCACATCTGTCTCCACGTGGTACAGCATGTCAGCCAGAGTGTGTTCGATCACAGCGCCCCAGCCCATGTCACTCATCTGAGACGGAGAGAGGAAAACAACCACAGAGGATTAATCCAACAGCTCAGTGTGAGGTGTGTTACCTGGGCGAGGACGTGATTCTTTACAGACTCTCTCACCGGCTGGTACTTGAGGTCCTTTGGAGGGTATTTGAAATGTGGCCCAAAGTTGACTGACACCTGAAAAGAGACAAAGAGGGTTAAGTTAAGCAAACAAAAAAGAATCAAGAAAGCAAAAAATCACCAACACAACGTGCGTACTGACCGTGCAGCTCTTGTAGAGTGAGATGGCGGGGAAGTACATGCCTTCAAACAGATTCTCAAAGGCAAGTCCTTGGCTCACTCCGTTTTTATAGAATATCATCTGGAAAACAGGATCCATGCATCAACAGCAGCAAACGGCACCATATTTTCACACTGGTTTTACTTTTAGAGAGGTTTCCTCACCCTGCTGGGGCTCATTGACTTCAGGCTTTTCTCTGCTTTGTCCACGTAGTCCTTCTCCTCAAAGTACAGGTAGCTCTTGAACTTAATAAGCGCCTGAAAACAGAACAGATTCGAGATGTGAGAGTGATGATGTGTGCTGAGTCAGACTACGTTCTCACACTAATACATTTTCATTTTAAAACAACGCTTTTAAACAAAACCAATCTCTGTCCACACGAGAATTTTAGCATGGTTACAGACCACTGCTAGTCAAGGCAGTTTAATTTCTTCTGGAAAAGAGTCACGTGATAGAGGTGTGACGAATCAGAGAAGGAGACATGACCGATGACATTCATCAGGAAGTGAACATGTGTGTCTGCGTCATCTTTCTCAAAAGTTTCCTTTTCTTCCCATCAAGACTGAAACACATTCCAGGGTCAGCAGCATTTTCAAAAGTCTCCATTTTAGGGTTTTGAAAGCGCCAAGTAGTGTGGACACTGGCAAAATGTACGCGTTTCAAAATGAAAACACATTAGTGTGGATGAAGCCTCAGCGTAGTTCTCATTGTGTTACCTTGTCCTTGTATGTGTCAGGCAGAGCTTTGGCGGTCTCTGTGGCGTCGGGCAGCTCTATGAAGAAGCCCAGCGTGTCTCCCTGACCGTAGCTCGA